GTCACTGGATTATTTTGGTTTTCTCTCGATCTCTCTGCCTCTATCATTTAGTTTGGGATGTCTCTGTTAACACACCTTCAAGTTCTTTGATTCTTTCTTCAGTTGTATCTTGTTTGTTGATGAGCTATAAAAATCATTCATTTCTGTTTCTCATTTCCAAAATTTTCTTTTGAGTCTTTCATAGAGTCTCCAGCTCCTTGTTACACTGCCCACCTATTTTTGTAGGTTGTCCTATTTTTCTATTAGTATCTTTAGCATATTAATTAATCGTAGTTACATTCCCTGTCTGGTAATTCTAAATTTGAGTCTAAAATTTGATTCTGGTGCTTGCTTTGTCTCTTCAGGTTGTGTTTTCTTGCCTTTATTGTAATTTTTTTGTTGAAAGTTAGACATGATGTATTACATAATAGGAACCAAAGTAAACAAGCCTTTAGAGTGAGTTCCTATGTTCATCTAAGCAGGAGTTGAACCATATTGAATGTTTCCTGCAGCTACTGGTGCCAGAGGCTTCAAATCCCTCTAATGTCCTTATTTTTTGCCGCCTCTCTCATCTTTGGGCTTCCCTACAAACTTCTCCTTAAATAGTCTATGCCTGGAAGCTCTTTCAACTATAGCCCCATAGTTCTTATACTTGATCCTTTGAGAAGCTTGCAGAGTTCCTGAATGAAGAACCTACAACAGTGTCCCTCTCAGACACGATATCAGCCTCTAGCAGTTTGTCGAAATCATTAGTAAATGTTCCTATCAGTGTATAGATCCAAGAGTCTTTGTTCCCAGTAAGCAGACCACACTGTGATTGTCTGTATGTTTCTGCCTCTCACAATGTTGAAGTAGCAGCTTGCCTTGTAATTCCAGTTTTCTGGTAGGCCCAAGAAAAGTCATGGATGTTCAGTTTGTTCAGCTTTTTTCAAAGACAATAATGATGACTCACAAGCTCTTTACCTTTTGCAGCTGAAACTGGAAGCAGGCAGGGCGTTTTGACATGAATTATTTGATAGGATCACCATTGACTTTAGAGACATTATGATATTGTTGCATTAAAAAATTAAAGCACTTGACTTTTATGGAGTGATCTACTATGGAGTCATCACTTTTATGGAGCCATGGACCTTTGAGCTAACCACTCATACAGCTCTACCTATCTCTATTTTCTCCCTTTTCCTCAACTCCCATTTCAAATGGAAGGAGCAGGGTTCAGAATATGGAAAGGGGGCTCTTTCTTACCCATTATTTGATAATCAAAAAGCTAAAAATAATCCATTACAGAATGGCCTTGGTAAAGCAGCTGCATCAAAACATTTTTCCTGGGGGGAGAAAAGACACAGAAAGGCACTACTTTAAATTTTCTAAAGCAGTACTTTAAATGTAATGGAAAACTGAATTTTGTTGAGATACTGAATTCTTGATTTATCCATGTTCATCTCAAATTTTCAGTGTCCTTACTCTTTTACCACTTAATCTTCTGTGCCCAGCTCCTCTCAAAACTGAAGAGTGTGGCTGTCAAGCCTTTTAATACTGAACAAAACAACCTACCTCAGCATAATCTTGGAGCAAGTGAATGTTGCCTTGCCAGTAAACATCAGATACAATTCTTGGTATGGATGTCCTTTCCTTTTTAATAATACAATAATAAAAATTCCTCACACTTATCCAGGCAGGGTGGTACACAGCTGTAACCCCAGCACTCAGGAAGCTGAGACAGGAGAATGGAGAGTTTGAGGCCACCCTGGACTACGTAGTGAGATCAAGTCCACTCTGGACTACAAAGTGAGACTCTGTCTTGGAAAGAAAGAAGGAAGAAAGGGAGGGAGGCAGGGAGGGAGGGAGGAAGGGAGGAAGGAAGAAAGGAAGGAAGGAAGGAAAGGAGGGAGGGAGGGAGAAATATTTCTCAGATGAATTCAACATTTACTGTCATGAGAAATTTTCATAGATGCCTCATATACAGCTTATCTCACTTATTCTTCACTATTGCCTTCGTTAAGTCAGAAAACTATGGATCCAAACAAAACAAAACAAGGGGCTTCCCTAAAGCCATACAGCTAGTTTATGGTGAAGGCAGGATTCAAACCAAAACATGCCTATGACTTAAATTCTCTGCTTTCCTTGATGTGTTCCTCTCGGAGGCAGAACGTAAGCGTGTAACAAGTACCACTAGAGATCTTGCCTCTATGTTAGGAACTGCTGTTTCAAATCCACATTAGGCAGCCACTTTAGCAGTTAGCCTGGATATAGCCCCTAGCTTCACTCAGTGGCTATAACTCCCAGGAGGCAGAGACTATAATCCATTCACTAGTGAGTCTCCTAGTAAAGCAAAAGTGTCTGTGGAAATAGGAACGAATGAGCAAGTGATTGACTTCACGAGCCTGTGAATGAATGAATGAACTCTCAGTACGATGACTAATGAGAGTGAGAAGCCTTTCTGAACACTATCAAGGCCGCAGATCTTCACTGATGAAAGTTCCAGCGGGGTTGGGACCATATTGGCCTTAATTAGCACAAGCGTGGCACATAGTACATATTTAATAAAATTGTGTTCTTTTTGATGAAGTCACTTGTCAGAGGCAGTTCCTTCAAGAACAAGTAGCCCTGTGCTTGGGAGAATGATAGAGTTTTTTCTCCCCGCCTATGACCTTTGCTGGATAATTTCCTACATGTTCCCTCTACAATGTACATAGTTATGATTACAAGCAGAAGTAACACAAGTTAAGCAAAGAAGAACTGGGAAGGATTTTTGTGAATGAGAATCCTTCTCTGTCACCATTGGAAAAGACTTAGCATCTTCCTCCAGAGCTAAGCATAAGAAAGCCTAAGTGAGTAACCCAAGGTCACCTAGTTGCCCACCACACAGACAGGCCCAGAGTGTGCTTCTCCTGCCTGCCAGGTCACTATTTGCTTCACACAGTCAAGGTGGCCCATTCAGAGCAAAAACAGTAAACTTTAAATGCAGAACACACCATACTGTCATGCTTTTTTTTTTTTTTTTTGGTCTTGTTTTTTATTAATAAAATAGAAGAAAACACCCCAGAATGTGAGGAAAAGATCACCACCACCACCTTCTGGCCCACTGTTGGCAAAGAACCCAAGCACAACCCACTGTGGTGACAGGAATAAAAACTGACAGGAGGGTAGGCCTTGGGTGTTGTCGTGCTTCCTCCACACCAACATCTGGAGAGCTAAGTTGTGTGAAGTAAGATGACATTGAATCTATAACCCTATGTTTAAAAAAAAAGTCATAGAACTTGGACTTTAATCATGAAGATCATTTTACCAAAGCATATTTTTAAAAGCCTGTGAAATATTATGCAACGTTTGCATGGTTTAATTATGAGTTTAGAAAAGCCTAGCACAACTTTTTTACGACAGTAAAACATGACAGAGCGTGAATCATAGCGTAATACTTTATGCTTAGTGTGGTTTTAGACGTGGGGTTAGGGGTGCTAGGCTGGCTCCACAACAAGCATGAATTACTAGACCACAATTCACACCCTGGAGGGCTTTAGGACAATTATAAAACCTCCTTTGTTTGCTTTTTAAGTAATTAAAATATCTGAGTGCTATATAGACACTTAGTGAATGTGTGTGTAAGATATGCACACGTCTTATAGACAATATCTGAGTACGTGATTGGGCTCTTTGCTCTTTGTGTTGCCTCCATCTTTAGGGTACACTGTGAGCTGTAAGAATGCACAGGAACTTCTGCTGCATTTGAACATTTACTTTTCCCTGGGTTTAACACGGGCAAGCTCTTTATTCCTTGCCATCTTTTCAAATCCTCTAAAATGTGGAATGCAATAAAGGCCTTTCTTTACTATCAGATTTCAAAGATTCCAAGTAAAAACATTTGCCCAGAAACTACAAGGTTTTAGAAACTTAAAATTCAGATGTTTTCAAGAAAAGAAAAGAAATAAATGGGTCAGTATGAGGGAGGAAGGGAAGCTGTCAGGAGAAGAGTGGGAAGGGAGATCAGATCTCCAAAAGTCTGATTCTGTTGTCCACTGTGACAACTTCAAAGAGATAAACAGAAAAACACATAAACTTCAAAAGAGATCAACTTTGCTGGAAATGCAAGCCCTGGAGAGAGCAAATCTGAATATTTTTATAATGAGCAGGAATAACTCATTTCTTTCATGTCATAGCATATACAAAGCTTAGTGTTTTTCTAGAGAAGTCTGCTCTTTCCAGATTGCTATTCCCAGGGTCATGAATCCTTGATTACGTTGAGACCTTTGTAAATCATGGTAGTCTGATGCTGTTGTTGTCCACAAAGAATGTGGGACAAAGAGAAAATTGATATTTAACCCTAAGGAAATGTAAAACTGTCCGGCCGTGGGCACAGTGTATAATTTAAATATCACTGCACATTTTGCGTAAGAATGCTAGAGTCTCTGGCCTCCTTTCCATCTATGAACAGTATAATGCATTTGAAAACTAAGACTTCTGAATGTTGCAGTCAAATTTACAAAATCCATTGTGTATCTTTCGAAGTCCAACTTTTGACTCTTGTCTGTCCTAGGCCTCTTAAAATGACAATATAGAAAATATTTGCTAAAAATATCCGCCCTGTAAAGTTGCAAACTGTAAATTCTACAAAGGGGCAGATGTCTGGTCCCTAAGCTCACGCCAGCTCCCTAACCAGACCTTCCGTGCAGTCTTCTACCTCAACAGAAAAGATTTAAAAGTTTCAGGAATAATTTTGCCAAAGATACTTTGAATATGAATGTAAAGCATAATCCACTCTTTTCATCATTATTAGTGTGATTGAGTAGAACTTTCTGGAAGGAATACTTATCAGTAAGAATCAAACATAAACTGTATTTCAGTACCTTTTAGCAGACAAATCACTCAACAGAGGCAGATTCTTAGACCCGGATAGGCTTATTATTAAGTGTTAATAAACAGGCTATATGCATGTGTATTTAGAAAAAGTTTCTCATTAAAATACCTTTTATTCTTTAAGTTTCACCCCACTCAGCCTATAACTGATCTCGGATTCTCTGCAGATACAAGGCAGATCCAGCCATCCCCACCGTGGTCCTATGATCAGTCCTACCAGTACCTGGGCTCCATCACCACCCCTTCCGTGCACCCCGCAACGCCCATTTCTCCGGGACGTGCCAGCGGCATGACAAGCCTCTCTGCAGAAATTTCCAGTCGGCTCTCAAGTAAGGCTCTTGAAAATGTATTCGCAGCCAAGCTGAAAGGCAAAAAGTCTGGGAGATCGAGGAGATGTGTGAAGGGATTGGCAGGCCGTTATTAATTAAACAAAACATGGTGGAAAGACAGAGTGGCCTATCCGTGATGCCAGGGATATCCATGTGACACACTGACTTTACTTAACCCTCAAAGGCAGAGACTTTGGGTGTGTAAGCAGAAGGGACTTGGAAAAGCTCTCGGGTGGGAAAGGGTGGTGGCTGAAGGGTGAAGAGTCTGAAAAGCACAAGCGTTCAGCTTCTAGAACTCATCATACCAACTGAATTCTAGGCTGAGGGGCTTGGTCCAGGGGGTGGTGGTGAATTCTCACAAGTGCCGTGAAAAGCACAATAAGGTTCCTGTGAAATGGGAGGCAAATATTTGCCAACTGAGATGTTCCCAACTGCAAGCTGTTCAGACCGAGGTTAGAGGAACAGCATGGAAAGCTCAGGTGTCATGGTTAGCATAATTGTTGTTAATGTGAGCTCATTAAATATTAGTCATTTAACCTAGGAGCCCTTTGGGCCTGGCATTCACCTTTGCTTGTGGGCAGGGAAATCAGTTACAAAGAAAAATTCCTTTGTTGAAGGCAAAAGAAGAAACTTACTGTTTGGGGCTTTGAAATTGGAGCTGAACCAAACTGAAAATACTTCAGAGAACTTCAGCATTTTGAGGCCTGCAAACACACTTGTGTGTGTGTTGGGGGAGGGTGGCCATTTTTTCTTTTCAGCTCTCGGATCAGATTATAGCAGATTGAGGGGTAGGCAAAGTGGCAAAGGAGTCACGTCTGCCATTTTAAATGTTGTGCAATGTCGTGCTTTCCAGACAATTGTGACTGCTTAACATTTCATAAGCTGCTGTAGCTGCTTCTTAGAGCTTCACTGAATGCTTTCTGAGAGGCTCTCGGCAGCAGCACTATGGATATTTGGTCCAAATATTTCTTTCTTGTGGGGAGTTGTCGGGTGCACTGTGGAATATTTAGCAGCATCCCTGGCCTCTAGATGCCAGGAGCATCCCCCCAGCTTCTGCATGTGACAGTCAAAAACATCTCCAGACACTGCCGCAAAACTTGAGAACCATGGTCTTCAAATATCCCTTGGCGATATAGTAAAACAGAAAGTTTTAAGTGTTCCATTTCCACATTAGGTTTGACCATCAGTGCCATGATGGCAATGATTTTCATGGCAAGTGCTGGTCTAAGGAATTCAGAGAGTATTATAGGACTTATGGCATCCGTTCAGCTTGTGGTTTCTTAAAATCTATCCCTTGTGAACAGAGTTCGATTCCAAAAGGAACTTGTCGGGTTCTACTGATTCTTCTCTGTGACGCTCCTGGACCCACTTGCTATACGGTCTGCATCTGAGACAATAATTGTTTTCCTTGGAAATGTCCCTGCTGTGGGTCTGTCCCTGGGAATGTAATCCGTAAGACGTTTCACTTGGTTGCCACCCAAAATTGGCACCTTACAGGCCCAAAACCCCAGGGCCCACACGCCCACAATATAGCAGTGTTCAGGTATAAGGGAGGCTTTTTTTTTTTTTATTAAAGGACTAACATGTATATTTCCAAATCCTGAATCACAGTTTTGCTTCTACATAACCTGGATTTCAGTTACCCAAGGGGTAAGGGGGGATGCACTGTGGCACGGGAGCGTGATGGAGATGAAAACCATGCCCCTTTTCAGCACCCAGGACTGATACTGTGCTGTCTTGAAGGGAGGACCAGACAATTCCAACTGAGCTTTCATTGGTGGCAGAGAATAGCATGGGAGACTGCTCTTCAACTGGGCAGGAATCCGTCTGAGAAATCAAACCTGGAGCAAAAGCCTGAAAAGTTTTGTCCTAAACCTTGGGGTGGGAGAGGGGGTGGGACACATAAAAGAAAGTGACTGCCCAGGCGGACGGCTTTGAGAACTTGACACTGCTCCTTGGCTCCTTCACCTTTTCATCCCTCCCAGCCGCCCTCTCCCCACCCCCAGTCCCACCTGGGCCTCCTTGGGCACTGAGGATGTGGACTCTTGTCTGTCTCTCTCTATCCTCAGCAGACAGACTCCACACCTTGTCTGAAAAGAGTTGTCATCTGGAGGTTTACTTTTCTTTCTTTCTTTCTTTTTTTTGTTTTTAATTAATGTTTAGCTGCCAACCTGGGCGACAGACAGCATGCATTAATCTGAGTCATGCAAAAGATCCTTTTAAGGCAGCCATTATCTGCTCAGGTTGTTTAATCCTTTGGGGACAGTGGGAGGGGCCCCAGAGTGGGGCTGCTTTCATCCCTGTCAAGCTGCAAAGCAAAGACTTGAGCTGTCACGGCAAATATTTAGTCCCTTCGATGGGGAAACATTTCCAACTAAAATATCTGAACCTCCTAATCCCCAGATTTCCTACTCTTAAAAAGCTCTCCCTGGGTATCAAGGGTCCCAGATCACACTGCTACTGAGCAAGGAGGCACCAGGTCAGCCAAAAGGACAGATGAACTGTGGCTGGATGGGTGATTTGCACAGACCTGGCTTTAATAGCCACTACTGGACCAGACATATGAAAACAAACACACTATTTGAATAAAGTCCTGGAATCTGGGCCTATCTGAAGGGCTGAAATTGTTATTATCAAATGTGTGCTTTTTTAAAAAGACAATAATCTGACCAAATGGGTTTTTGTTTTGTTTTGTAGAATGATGTTACTGTGCAAATAGGAAAAAAAAAATGGGCACTATTTCAGATCTTTCAGACATTCTGCCCACAAGTGAAAGAACTATTTTCTCTCAACAGCTGAGACTGTAACATCATTCCAGTACTTATGCCCATGACAAATCACAGACTCACTCAGGATTCCGGTAACTCAGTACCATCACCACATTACCATGTGCGAGTTGCAACAGACTGGCAGAGCATGTCCGGACACTGCTGTGAAACAGGGTGACCTTTCCTTCATTTTTCCAGTAGATTCACCTTTTTGTTTTAGGTCAAATGAAGCAAGAGGAATAATGTCATGTGTGTCCAGAGCATTGCAACAGATGACAACAAATTAACTGTATTTACCTAATGCTTTTCTTCTTACCTCGGCTTCTCCCTGGACTGCATAAATCTAACTAAAAAAAATAAAATAAAATAGAGTAAAGCTTCCAGTTAACTCTCCAACATGTCACAGCTCTCTGTACAAGCAAAAACAAGTGACACAGAGCTTGCTCACAGATGGCACCAGCAAGCAGGCAGGGATGAACCCTGTGGAATGAGGTGCGGCCTGGCTTGAGAATGAGCTAGAGAGGGGCCAACGAAGGGCAGCCCTAGAACCACTGTCCATTTACAACGTTTTCCCTGTCCACATGTCTGACTTGCTTTGAAAAGATTAACAGGAGTGTTTGTTTGAAAGTCAGACTCCTGGTTTCCTCATTAGTGGAGGGATTTGCCACAGACTTTGGCTGTTTCTATAAACTTTAATTACCTCTCTGATGAAGAGTATGTCCCCTCCTCACATTCATCCCAAATGTACAGAAGTTCATTTCTGAAAATGTTTTAGAGCAATAAAAGATCATTAGAGGGAGGAAGCGGAGGAGAGAGAGGAGATATGAAAGAATGAATATGAGAACGAGAACACACTAGCTCTCCCTGCTGGAATAATAGGCTTGAAATATGAGGAGGTTGATCAACAGCCGAGGCTTTCCAAAAAACAGATTAATCCACTCTGGTAGCTTTCCCTTCAGAGCAAGCGTCCGACTCCCTCAAGTTTCTCTATTGTCCTGTACTCAGAAGGACACAGGACACATACTATTTGAGCTTAGAGTTATTTTGTATGCCAATTTGAGAGCTTAAAACTGTAAGCATTTCATTCATGCGTCTGCTCTGTTTTGTTGCTTTGGGTTTGCTACTGTATCGATTATACTCCTGGCCACCCCATCCTATATCTACAGTTACACTCTCAGCCAGGGGTGACTGTGCCTGCCTGATCCTCACTCTCACATCATCTGGCAATATCTGGAAGCATTTTGGGTTGCCACAGAGGAAGAGGTTGCTACTGGCATCTATTGTGCAAGGACCGGAGATACCACCAAACATCGTACAATGCACAAGACAGCCCCTAAACACTCTACAAATAATCTCGCCAACAATGTCAATAGTGTCACTTTTGATAAACTCTGATCTACAGGACATGGGAACACTTCCCGGCACTCATCCTCTCTAGTAATTCCCTCGGGCAGACAAAAAGTAAGAAAAACGCAGAGGGATCATATGAACCATGGTACAGACCAGGCCAGTTTGTGAAACTGTAGATTTACAGTCCTAACAAAGTGAATTTTATAGACAAAGCTTTGCTGTTTCTGGTAGAATTTCAAAACGTTGAAAAAAAATGGAGTAAATAAATCAAAGGTCCTATATCCATTTGCATTAACCAACCAGGGAAGCACATATTAAAGAATCTAGATGAACTTAAAGCTGTAATGTTGCTAAAGATTTGGAAGCCAGTCTAAAGGTAGATCTGGAAGAGAGATAAGTGGTAATGATATTCATGACCATTCATTCCCAGTCATTAGCATGGCATACATTATGTTGAAAATTTGAAAACTGCCCATTTTCAACCATTCAAGGACTACAAAAATGGCATTCACTAGGATTCAACCTAAATATATTCAATACATTATTTTATATTACTACTGTTATACATTTACATTATATATAATATATTCTATTGGTACTGTATTAATACCTCTATTATATTAATTGCCATATAGTGTCATATAAGTCACTATGTATTAAAGTTGATATATTAATATACTGGTTATATAATCAGTACACTAATTGGTATTAACATTGACTAATTTAGAGAATAGGCAACATTTTTTTCAGTAAAGGACCAAAGAATATTTTAGCCTTCCCTACAGTCACTGTTATCATCATGCAATTTTGCTGTGGTAGCTCATAAGCAGCTATATGCTATATATAAAAGTGAGGTTATGTTCCAATTTACATACAGAAGATGGACTTTGAATTTCCTATAATTCTGATATCAGAAACACTAATCTTTTTTAGATTTTTGTCCCCCCCCAGCTATTTAAAAAAGTAAAATTTAAGTTCTGAAACATAAAAATTGGCCCCAGATAAGCCAATAGGAGATAAGCCAATACTCTCTCAACATAGGAGTATATCAATATTTTATCTATAGTTTACATTATTTATACTATGCACATATCCACATATATGTCACTTCATATGTGCCACATTACCTAATATCTTTCCTATACATATTACCATCTGCCATTACTACATATTTTCACACCATCTTCTTGTCCATTAGCATGTACTCCTCCTACTTCCTGTGCAAGAGCATTCTGGGTAGTTCCCCCCACTTCCTGGCCAAGAGCACTGTGGGTAGTTTCTTCACTTCCGGGCCAACAGCCTTCTCGGTGGTCCTTCCCTCATCTTGGGTAGTGGCGTCCTGAGTAGTTCTCCTTCTTCTGGGACAGGAGCACTTTGGAGGAAGCGGAACGGCCTCCCCAGCTCTCTACTCACGTGACATCTACTTTGCCCCACAGCGGCTCCTGACCTGACAGCCTTCGGTGACCCACGCCAGTTCCCTGCGCTGCCCTCCATCTCCGATCCTCGCATGCACTATCCCGGCGCCTTCACTTACTCCCCAACACCGGTCACGTCGGGCATCGGCATCGGCATGTCAGCGATGAGCTCAGCCTCCCGCTACCACACTTACCTGCCACCACCCTACCCCGGCTCGTCGCAGGCGCAGGGTGGCCCCTTCCAGGCCAGCTCCCCCTCCTACCACCTGTACTACGGGGCCTCGGCCGGCTCCTACCAGTTCTCCATGGTGGGCGGCGAGCGGTCGCCACCACGCATCCTGCCACCCTGCACCAATGCATCCACGGGCTCGGCGCTGCTCAACCCCAGCCTCCCAAACCAGAGCGACGTGGTGGAGGCTGAGGGCAGCCACAGCAACTCGCCCACCAACATGGCACCCGCCGCGCGCCTTGAGGAGGCCGTGTGGCGGCCCTACTGAGCGTGGCGAGGCGAGCCCTGGACCTTGTCATCCGAGCCCGGCACCGGCTGGGCCAGCGCCTGTTCCCGGGTCACGCCGGCCTCTGCCTCCTGCGCTTCTGAAGCCACGCAGTTCACTCCGCCGTCGCCCGGGCCCATCAGTCTCTCCAGGGGTGTCCTCAGGAACACCGCTTTGTGGGCACGTTGAAAGACAAACAGGAAGATTCCCAGAGGGAAACTGTGAATGCTTCTGATTTAGCAATGCTGTGAATAAAAGAAAGATTTTATACCCTTGACAACTTTTTAACCAAGTTGTTTATTCCAGAGAGTGGAATTTTAGGGTTTCTTTGGGGGGGCAG